TTGATAAATACCTTTAAATAAAAAAAATATATCATTCCATTAATAAATAACGTTTCTGCATAGACATTCCAGGAGCGGACTAGCCATCCCGTATATACTTCCCCGGCACGAGGCCTGTTTGCTCAACTTTACAAAAAACAAATATATTGTAAGAGGATTGAGACAGGGGGTCTCAGTGCCTCTGGCACTGGTTAATTTGGGGATCGCGGGCTGAAAGTTGGGAATCTAATTTTTGGTCCTTGATTGTAACAACATCCAATAATTAAGTACAATGAGCACCCCCCCGGTTACACTTTGCATTTGCCCTGTATAAGGGGGCGCTGTAATGTGAATGAAAAGTGTACGAAATAATGCTCAGTTTTTGGCAGTGTATGTCGCCTTTTGTAGAGATTTTTCATTTAATCTCTTTATATATAACCAAAAAATTCTCGCCTACAAATCGTGTCTAGGGCAGCGCAAATTGCTAGAACCGCGGCCGCTGGTNGGATTTCTTCCTGAGCCGCTGGGAGTGAAGGTCCTCCATGGATGGCAGCTTAAGGCTTCACAGAGGGTGGTGAAAACTGCACAGAACATCACCAGGACGGAGCTGCCATCCATGGAGGACCTTCACTCCCAGCGGCTCAGGAAGAAATCCCTCCGGATTCTAAAAAACCCCCATCACCCCAGCCACAAACTGTTCTGTCTGCTGCCGTCTGGCAGGCGCTACCGCAGCATCCGGACTAAAACCACCAGACTCAGGGACAGTTTCATCCCACAGGCAATAAGACTGTTAAACAACTGAACTGCTGAAACAATTTCATAACATTCATCTGCTACTTAGTAATTATCTATCTATTATCTAATATATCATTCCAATAACTTGTATATAGACTCGTTTTTTTTTTTTATAGACTCGTTTTTTTTGAACTATTTTTCTTTTGTATTACTTTTAATATAATATACTTTAATATTGCTTTAATATTGTCTGCTTATCTGTATTATTGTGTTGCATTGTTGGAGAAGGTCCTTGGTTGGTATGAAAAAGTTTGAGAAACACTGCGCTAGTGGATTATCAACGGGGGGGAGCCTCGCTGCGGGGAAATTATACAGATGGCCAGTCCGCCCCTGAAAAATGTCTATGCACACGTTATTATTAATAAGAATAAAAACAAAAAAATTGATAATGTCTTTCTTTTTTAAATGTTGTAATCATCTCGCGACCCCCACTCGGGGTCCACTTTGGGAGCCCCTGGGTTAGAGGACACACTTAAATCAAGTCATCTGAAAACAGTTCACAGCAAATATCAAAGTAGTCAAAGTTTTAATCTTGACCTCTACAGGGACACATCACATCAGTGGGTCCATCATCACACGCATTTCTGTGGCCAAAAGCCATTTAAATATCTCTTTAAATCCCAAAGTTTCACAGACATCAAATGTGTTGTTCAAAGTGACATCACGACACGATGCCAAAGACATCAAAGGTACAGAAAAAATAGTGCCATCTTGAACGAGAATATTTCCCTACATTTAAGCTTCCTGCAGCTTCAATGAAATGATGAAAAATGCAGATGCGGAATATATTATTTTTGGATCTGCAAGAGATGTTTTATCCAACTTTGATATTTCTTGAAAGCTAACATTTTGTAAGCACTAGAGTTCAAATGGTTAACTTTCTTTGAAATTAGAGCGAGTTCCGCTGCTTTTTCCGATATCTGTTTTGTGTGATGCTTTTTTAAAAAGCATTAATAGAACATTAGGAGTAAATGGATCTGAACTGTCCTTGCCCTTGGCAATAGTGGCCCCGTTCCAAGTGAACACACTCTCTCACGCTCTCTTTGATCTCTTCCAGAGATGAGACTCTCCAATTAAACCTCTAACACAACACAGCAATACAAGTTCATTTGTAAAATGCTAGCTCTTCAAAGTAATATAAAGTGTGGTAATAAGAGAATGAACAGGGGAGAGAGGGAAAAATGAGACAGAAGGCCTTTGGTTTTATAACAGCAGAGTTTCAATATCCAGCACCTTTTCATTAGTTTTGAGGGAGGCAATGTCAGCCAAGCAACTTTCTGGGTAATGATACCGAGTAATTCAATTAAAAACGCTCTGAGTGGAGATGGAATGGGAACGACAGCCTCCAATGAGAGAGGGGAGAGGAACAAAAAGAATGAGGTAGAGAAGGGCAAGAAAACACAGGATGAATAAACCTAACAGTAGCAGCCCCTTCTTTTCATGCCTCTTCCGTTTGTTCCTCGGTTCCCTAAGACAGCCTTAATGTGTCTACTTCTCTCGTAGATTTGATCAGGCGAGGAAAGCGGATGTAGCTCCTGCACACACATGCACATTTGTGAATGGGCTGATGTTGCTGTTCAGATATCCCACTTTTCTCTCTGTCGGTGCAGAGAGAGGCTCCACAGGCTGTGTGCATCTCAGCAGACACCCTGCCCGGCAAAATGAGTAAATGAAACATGAGAGCGAGATAAATACGCTGACTACCTGCTAAAGCCACAACATGATTCACATATCATTTCCAGCTCTTTCGACGATAGGTAACCCAAGCTGACAGACAGCAATCTTGGTCCTTCATGTCACGTTACGCCTCCGGTCCCCCATTAATATGTATGCAGCCTCATCACTGTTTCTTTTTGCATTAAATTCCATTCCCCTGTGGAGAGCGGAGATATGAGCTTTGAGAGATTACAATCACTGTACCTGCAGGAAAGTAGATAATTATGCAGGCTACTTTTAATAAGAAAACACCAGCTAAGGGTTAAATATTTTCATTCACACTTCCACCCCCTTACTGACAGCTGCTCACACCTCTTCCCCTCCGAAGTCATTTAGGAAGTCAATATCACACGACTTAAGCTCCTCCAGCCTCTGTCTTTCTTTTTTTTCCCCCTGTCTCTCTCTCTCTCTCTCACAGACAACCAGGAGCCGTCACTCTGATGGTCGCCTGTCATGCATAATAAGAAACGTTGACATTTCAGAGAGCAGAGAGGACACGCCGACAAATCCACATAAAGGTCTCTCACGTAGTGGCCTCTGAGTGAGCAGGTAAGTGGATCTTTTTTAGCCGAGCACACTGCACCTCTACAGCTGAACAACACAACACTGAATGTCCAGGAAGTCCTTGGGGCAGCATTGATATTTCAGTATGATAATCGACATGAACTCAGGTGGGGTGCCGGCTGCCGGTAAAAGTGTTACCTCTCAGGCAGGCCAGCCAAATTAGCCTTCTTCATTATGCCACTGTGCTTGGGTCACGTCTCTGCAGGTACTGAGACTCCGGTGTGCCACTGCTCTCTGGTGGGTTCACGCACAGTATTTTAAGCAGAGCACAAGGCAGAACAAGCGTTGGAGGGGTTGGTTGAGAGAGCAGGTGCAGCTGTGTCGACGCTAAGTAGCTGAGACCTGTAGCTAACTGCAACACCTCTCACTGCATAACACATAACCGTCTGCGGGAAGGTTTTATTTTCAGTGGCACAACATGACCTCAATATCGCATCTGTAATGGAAAATACTGCCACTGTTTTCAAGGTTGACTTGGCATGAAAATTCAGTTTGCAGCTTTTTTTTTGGGTTGCTTTTAAGAAAGAGGTGACCAGGCACGCTGTGTTTCAGATGGCAACCTGGTGAAGGTCACACAGAAATGTTGAAATGGGGTTAAGAACATAACTTGAGCTAGTGACTCTTTTTTCATGTCTTCAATTCACATGATTGGCTGGTACAATCTGAGCCACACAAACCAATGTGTGTGACCTCTGTCAGTTACTACCACATAATATGATTCTGCTCAAGGTTGCAACAATGCCATCAGTATAAAGTTGGGGAAAACCTTGGTTGTACAGTATGAGTATAGAAGTGTGTGTGAAATGAAAAAGTTAATTATATGTAGACCAAAATAGCCCTGTAATAAATATTACATGTGTGAGTGTTAAGCCACATTTCCTCATCATTCCTTTCAATTAAATACATAAAAATGTTAAAATCAAGTCTCTTTGAAAATACAACCTCTGAACTAGCACAGAAGGGTGCCTATGTGTCAGTGTCAGAAAAAGCCTATCTGACCTTTCATGATTTAGTCATCACACAATGATGCCATCACTCCTTTGCCTTAAGATGGATTATATCTGCAGAACACCAATAGGCAAGGTATGTGATGTGTGAATGGGACTGCATGATAAATATATGGATGGAAATAATTGTCTCATGTTTTCTACCCAATGCCCTTATGACATAATCTCTATGAAATCCTTCTTTATCTCATTCTGGATGCTTCCCCGCTGCAGTCTATATACCGCTACTGCTGTACACAATGAATTAGAAATGAGAAATGGCTGTTTCTGTGTTGCTTTGTTATGGCTCATCATGTCTTGAAACCCGGTTCAACCAACGTTTTTTTCTTATCTACCCCGGCAACGCAAGCTGACAGGCTGAATGACGTACAGCAATCTAGGCCTTTCGAGTTAGGTTACGCCTCTTGTCCTCCATTAATATGTATGCAGCCTCATCACTGTTTTTCACATTTGATTCCTTTCCCCTGATATGAGCTTTGAGAGATGAAAACATATCCTTACCAGAGATAAAAGATAATAAGATGGTCTATTCCTATAAGACATAACCTATTTTATAAAAATACTAGCTTTTTCAAGATGGAACAAAAATATGAATAACAGATTCATGGTCTGCAAATGAGATTGTCACACTGTAACTTGGCTGCTAGGAAAGGCAGAGACCTGGGAAGCTGCAATATATACATTTAAATATAAAAAATAGACCTTCAGGGTCTGCAGAGTAAATATATCAGGCTGACGCACTGCTGTCATTCCTTGCAAGAAGGTCAAGTTAAACTTTTATTACTGCAGATCAATTCCTACTTCACTTGATAAGAGCTCCTTACTTAATGAGAACAGCTGAGTTCAAGTCCTTTGGGAAGGGTTTCTATATATTGCCCTGACTGTGTAACTTGTGTTAGGAATGGACTCACTGTTCTGCGTGCAGGGGTTTGAACTCACCTCGGGGTTGGTCCACCTGGTCTTGATTGTCTCAGACATCCGCTGTGTACAGCCCAGCAGGTCATACCCCTCCCTGCTCTACAGGCGGAGCACACAAACACACAGCATTTCAACATTAGTACTTCGTCATTCCACTAATCATTCAGAGGAGAACCAAATTACTGTATGCTTATTTATCAGTTTATAACTGTATACAAATACAGACGAAATGCATCGTATTTTTTTTACCAAAATGATATTATGAAAAAATCTTTGCTTTTAGAAAGAAAATGCATTGTATAACTGTGACAAGTCAATCACAGATGACTTTTGACTTTTATGGTTTGCCATCATATCAATACTGTCCGAGATAAATGGATCTTTCACATGAATACACTGACACAGTAAGCAGGATAAAACCTAGTGTAGGTTTATGGTAAATAATGTGGCCTTAGGCTGTGTGTATGTGTGTGTGTGACCCCTTTGTCTCTCATCAATCAATTCCATATGTGGCCATGATGCACGAGTAGAACACTAAATTGTGCTGCTCTACTTTTTGTTTTTCAGATGTGCACTCACAGGGTAAAGGACAAAACTCGTGCTCTGTAAATGACACTCAGCACGCGATGTGGGTCGTCACTTCTACAGCTAAATGCTCCGCTTTTGTCATTCAGTTTATTTCAGTGTCCACAAACAAAACCCTTGAATGTTTGAAATATTAATCCAAAAGCTAAGTCCTGGTTTCTGATACTATCACACCTCTGTTAATTGGTCCTTTGTGCAATAACCCATACTGAATGTGTTTAGTGGGCTGATAACATCTGCCTCTGGTTCTATAATCATCACAAACGCCATGCTCTGCAGAACTGAGCGATGGAGTTATTCTCACAATCCAGCCCCGCATTTGCCCGGCTTACTGGACCAACTACAATGCTGCACTCAATGAGTTTTGACTCCCTAGACCTATTAAATGCGCCTGAAGCAGAAAGCCATCTGGGAAATGGAGGAAGGGTGAATTGGCATCAAGCCAAACATAAATGGGATATATTCATAATGTTTCCATTTCACAGTTTTCCTAGGAATTATTTATGTAGCCGTGTACTTGAATCAATTTTTTAATGAGATCATGTGGGTGATCATACATTGTTATGTTTAAAATATTACAGAGCCCTAACGAGTTGACTTAAAGACTGCATAACCTACAGCTGTTGACATATTATTTAGCCTGAATTTGAAATGCAAATCAGAAAGACAATGTTTTGAATACTTTATGTCATAGAGTTCAGAGTTAAAGACATTGTGTTCAAGTACAGTAGAGAGCATGTTGTAAATAAAGTTTTGCCTTATGCACACTTGTCATAGGGCTGGGTGATATGACAACATGTATTCATCATGGTCTTTTTTAACAAATATCTTGTTGAGATTGCCGTTTTGATCATGACATCAAATTTGGAGAAAAATAACTGATTGCGATATTTTTGACTGATATTGCGACTTGCGATATCAGAGGGAATGATCAACTTTGAAAAATGATTCACATTATTATTAAATCATTAAGTAAATTAAGTGTTATAAAGGGTTTTAATTAAGTGAGTAGGGTACTGTTAGTATGGCAGCTCTTTTCTGAAGGACCACAATACTTCATTCAGAATGATATCTTCACATATTTTGCCTTTACCATCGCTTAGTGCGATTTGCAAATTGTACTAGTCCATATTGTGATTTTTAAAGTATATAAAAGTGACATTACTTTACTGTTGGGGAGTAAGGATATCTATTAGCATCAATATATTGCCCATACCTAACCCGATGTGTTCCGAGTTTGTGACTCACCTTCTGCCAGGCGTAGGCCTCAAACAGCGTGATGATCTCATGCTCGCGGTGCTCACCTTGCACGGCACACAGCACGCAGATGACTTTCTCATCATTTTTACAGTAGAGGGAGCCTTCCTGCTCATGCTCCTTGCAGCGCAGTCTCTCTACTGTCACGTTGTTATTCTTCCCAGCCTCTCCGGCCGCCGCGGCCTCCTGCCCTGCTTCTGCGCCCTCTGCCCCATCGCCGGGCTCAGCCTCCAGCTGCACGCCATTCTGAGCTCCATCTTTTTCCACAGCATCACCACTCTCATCGCCTTTAGCCATTGCCCCTCGGAGAAGCGCCATGTCCTGATTAGCGGCCATCCGAGCTGCCCTCTCCACACCAGCCTCATCCTCTGCTCCATCACCGACTCTAAAGTCTCTGCTGTTGCCAAGTCCATTAGCCTGTGTCCCCTCGTGATTGTAAGGCATTATGGGATGATGTGTGCTGCTGGCATGTCTGTCAGCATGGACGGAGCAGAAGGCGAAGCTGCAGGTGTAGCACACGTGTGTGGCCGGTTGGGCCTCGTCAGGCTCGCAGGCATCACATGACCCATCCATCTGTGGCAGCTCCTCATGTTTCAGCCCCAAAGCTCCATCCTGGGGTTCCCCTTTTTGGTCCATGGTGGCTGATAATAATTCTGGGGATAAAAGGACTAATCTTATAGGAGACACACAGAGTAGAGGACAGGATATTAATAGCTGTGACCTTCTGAACGGCTCTCATATTTGCACAGGGGAAAGTCCAAGATCCTCTGGACTAATCCCCTCTGATGTGATGTTAGCAGAGGATATATGGAGGGGTGCACACAAAGAAACAACATCCAGAGCAACACAATCTACACAAAATCATCATTTCGCAAGGACACACCATCTGCAGTCCCTTTACTGTCTTTGTGTTCACAGTTTGTTTACTAACCCAGAAAACAGAAAGTGCTGAGTATGGCTATACCTTGGGCATGACCAAACACCCACGCTACTCTTATCTCACCTTCCTGTGCATGGCACCAGGCCCTGACCTTTACGTGTTTTGTTTGTTTATCTTCATGCCCTCTCACCCTACTTTCATTTCACTCTGCAGGGGTGAAAAGGAAAGAGTAAAAGGCAAAGGTGCATGACTTGTACACAGAAAGAACCCTCATTTTCTCCTCACTTTCCATTCCTCCTTTGAGCCCTCCTCTCCTGGGCTATACTGTGTACTCTTTCCCCACTGCTGACACAAACAACCGGAAGAAAGATGCTGTAATGCAGAGAAAAGACTCCCCCTCTGCCACAGCTCTCTCTCTCTCTGCTACTTCTCTCTCAGACATTCATACAGTGCTTCCTCACACACACACATACAAAGACATTTTCTCCCTATTCCTGTCGGGTTTACCGGTTTGCAACTCTCTGCAGTGTACTTACTTGTCTTTGTCTCCTTCCTGTTTCTCCGTCTAAGGCTTGTTTTGTGAAAAAAGTGGAGGAATTAGCTTAACGGCTAACTTCCTTAGCACAGCCGTGGTGCTTTGAATTCTATTACTGAGCTGTCGACGGATCTGCGTTCACTTTAGAGCATAAAAGGGGCTCCTGCTTCGATCCGACAGCGTTTACTTCCTTGTTTTCATGAGCTCCTGTCTGTTTTTTTTTTCTACTTCCTGCTTAGTCTCCTGTGTCTATGTGAACGGCAGAGACACGCAGAGGCTGGAGAGAGAAACCCCGTTTGACAAGCAAGCACTACAAACAAAGTGAAACTCCTTACCGGAGGCAGGTGAAAAACACTCTCCTTTTGCAACGTTAATATTTAAACTAGTAGTTTTGTCATGAGCGATTTTGTTTTAATAATTGTGTTATATTAATCACCGCTTATGGTCTTTAATGTGTCTAATTATACGTCTGTTTAACACTACCCGCAGCTGTAAACTAACGTTCATTGATTTAAGCCATTCAAATCGGGCAACAAAATAATTGAACGAATAAAAGATATCTTAGCAAACACTGATTTACATGTTCTCTTTATACATCCATTGTCAAAACATGTTAAATAATTTGATCTTAAGTTGGAGTTTGTGACTTTGTGCTAAAACTAGGAATAGAATAATAAAAACATGTTCAAAACTCAACAGAAACCACATGATGGTGAGTATGTTCCTCGAACTCATGTGTGCATTTAAGCTAACATTGGACAATGGAGTCAACGATGATCAGCTCCTGTTTTCATCAAAAATAAGAAAAGAAAAAAGTATTTATATGGTTGTTTTATAAAACTGCAGACATTCCTGAAACCTTGCACTTTGCACGCTCAAATAACAGGCTTGCTTAAATTAATATGATGACATGGTAGTCATCGTGTAATGTAGCTACAAGTCATAATAATTAGTTATCATAGTACTTTGATTACCTAACAAGCAAACATGGTCTCAACCATTGCAATATAACATTGTTTTGTAGAAAGAATTTTCCAGAAAATTATACAAAAATCATGACTCGTGTTAAGAGATCAGCTTATGTTCTTGTGTTGCTAGTAAGAATTTGATAATGAGTCTGAACCTTAGATATCAGACTTTTCCCCAAATTTCAAAAATATGTCTTCTGTTTAAAAACATTGATTGCTGTTATTCGTATTATAATCATCAATGCCAACGTTTTAACAACATTAATGTCAATATAAGGGCCTGATGATTAGATACACATAACTCAAGCAATATCAGGCCTATATCAATTGAAAAGCAATCCGTTTTTTTTTTAGTGAGCTTTAAGTAGTGTTAAAAATAGTGCCTGTTATTGTTCATGCGTGCATTCAAAATACATTACTGCAAAGTGAATGGTAGGCACAAGGCTGAACTTAATGTTGCCCTATATATTTGAATACAGGATAAGGTTCAAATTGAAGGGTAAACACAATGTGAAATTGAACACCGCTGGTTAATGGGGAGTTTCTAATTATGATGTCTGCTTTCCCTTCTGTACACGTCCTTCCTTACCCTCCATAAACCAGCACAGAGACAATGAAGCAGGATTAGAAGTCTGGAGAGAGAGATGAGGGAAAAACAAGCTGTTCTCTGTTGAGAGATCTAAAGAGGCTATTGAGCTAGGCTTCAGACAAGCAGTATTTGGCATACAATTGTTTACTGCAACTGTGATTTGAATGGGACACAATAAATAACTATAAACTACATTCCAAGCCCCGAGCATCCACTTTATATGGATGATCATGATGCAGTTTTTGCCAAAGTTTTTAGCTGTTTTGAGTAGGATTGCTCCTTTTTTAAAAGGTTAACTGAAAGAATTACTCAATTAAAACATATTGTACTGGTAAATTTGACTTGGCATGAAACTTCCTTAAGCCATGCTTATTTTGAAATGAAAATGTGTTTACAGAGGCTGTTCAAATGTATGATGTATGAATGATTCTGATCCGAGTTTTGGCCAGAAATAAGAGCACAAATGATTTTGCACTTCCAACCATAAATGATCTATTAGTAATGAACCAAACCACAGTGGAAAGTTAAACGGTCATCTGATTTATTTCAAATGTTTCACAGCAATAAACTGCCAAACAGTAAGGGACAACATTATCTTGCACACTGCATATAACTGAAAACAATTAAAAGGCTCATTGACTTGCAATTCATCAGAATAAGCACTCAATATACAAAATGTGGCTAATGGGAACTTTGATTTGTTCTTCCGCTACCAAGGGATCGCAGTGGAATAAAATGTGACACACAATTGGGGCTAAATTGTGTTTCTACAGTTCGTAAAAAGCCTGTGCTTCGAAGTTGGCAACATTAAAAACGCCAAGCTCTGAGAAAAGGCCGCCAAGAGTGAAGGCGGGAGGTTTGGCAGACACACAGAGAGCAGACAGAAAGCTCTTCCTAATGCGTCAGTTCTAACATTGTTTCATTGGCATGTGGTCATTTCTAGATGAAATTTCTGTCAGTGCAAACAGCACCGGTCTGTCAGAGGAGAACTTCTCTCTCTCACCCTTAATCTGTTGATATTTGATTCTGTCTCTCAACTCCCCATTTTATCCCTTAACCTGTCATAGCTGTGCATCATAAAGCACAATCAATATGCTGTTTTGCAAGGTTGTTCATGGCTTCCTGGAGCCATTTTCTTGCTGCAGTATAACTCAACCCTGCTGAATGAAACCTTTTAAGTTAACTCCTTCAAAAGTGTGTGTGTGTGTGTGTGTGTGTGTGTGTGTGTGTGTGTGTGTGTGTGTGTGTGG